GTGCGTGAACATTTGCGGCTGGCCATCGCTGTTAAGGTTAAGGTGAATGCCTCTCAAGTCTCAGTGTCGCCTAACGAGCTGCTGACAACAACTAATTAACCATATTGAGAAACCTGATTGAACTCTGCGGCCCACCTTCTGCTGTCCGAAATATTTGCTCTACGTGATTGATTAACGGAACTGTGTGAGGGATAGAAGCGAAAATATACACGAGTATACATATATGTTTTATATATAGCCAATTTGGTACAGCAATGAGATGAAAGATATTTGTAGCAAAAAGATTTGTTGTATATTTTTATATCATATTGCTGAATTCGATCCAAGAAAGTAAAGAAAATCTTTTATTTCAGAAATAAAATATGTATATGCTGATGTATACTCAATACTCAAATGTCCAAAACTTCCTTCAAATCAATTGGGGGATTAGTCAGAAAGATATTATATATTTTATTGATCATGTATTAAAAGAACCAAGAACATATTTTGATATTCATATTTAACCAATATTAGAAAATGCATCTTTAACTATATATTATATGGAAAACGTAATATTCACTTATAAATTCTCTTAGTAAAGATTCCAAGCAACTGCTACAAAGCTCAGAAAGTCTGCTTTAAGGGCAATATAGTGCTCCAAATCTAATAAATCTCTCTTTAGGCTGTCAGGCACAGAGCTCAGAGTACCGAGAAACCTATCGAACACAGGCGAATGCATAAATATTTTATACAATTATATCAAAGTAATGCGAAGGGACAAAAGCAGAGGTAGGCATAAATAAAAAGACATGGAAATGTATATTGGACAGGCAGAGTGAGACATGAGTGTGGAAGGAGAGCACTACAAACATACACACAAACACCCACACCCACACAGGCTTCACTTTAGCAAATGTGTGAAAATTATGCGTTCAATGAAAATATTTTGGCTTTAAACCCCCTTTGAGTGCCGGCAAGCCACATCCTGTGCCAGCTGCTGCTCCTGCTGCTGCTGCTATAAGCCTTTCAAAATCCTGGCCGTATGCAAAAACATGCGCTTGCCCAGGGCTTAGACTCCTGTTTGACCACAATGCAATTTTGTGGCTTACACAGATACAAAAAATCCCCAACACTCGCTCTGCTTGCTGCTCCCGTTTCTAACCAAGCCAATCAAAGCCCCTTTTGGCATTTTTGGTAGCTCACTTGAATGCGCAATCAGCAGCAGCAGCAGCAGGCTAACAGCAGCAGCAGCAGCACAACAGTAGGATATGCTCTCCATATTATGCATGGTAATAATAAAATTGTCAGCTTCACATTGTGCATGCTCGATCCGCCTCTCTCTCACTCACTCCTATAGCCAATCTGCACTCTATGCCATTCTATGCTAATCCTACCGTAACCATAAATAAAATGCTGCACCAAGTGCAGAGATAAAAGTTGACCGCATTGCTCCCAAATAAAAAATAATAAAAAAAAGAAAATGCATAGTCCCCATCCATATTCCGTTTCCCTCACATAATAATTATGTGCGTTTTGAAATTAAGAGCGTATATAGGATTTTTGAAAGCTTTGCTCTTACTTGATTTTTCGCTCTATATATGTCTTATATGTTGCTGGTATTTTATCTATAATGTAAGGAATATATATTCCTTTATTAAGCGAATTTATGTAATATAAAATAAATTATTTAATAATAGTTCTGGACTGTCTAAAAGAATCACGAATATTGAACACTAGGGCATACGAAATTATTTGTGGAAAAATACTCACAAGTAATATCTAATGGGATTCTCTTTGAAGTGTTCATTCATGAATAAATAATGAAAATAATATATTATAGAAGAGATATACTCGTATGGTAAATACTTCACGAAACGTGAAGTGATATGCAGATGGCTAACGCATTTATTCCACTTCCTTATTTTCCTTATTTTTCATTTTCTTACTTGATTTTTCGCTCTATATATGTCTTATATGTTGCTGGTATTTTATCTATAATGTAAGGAATATATATTCCTTTATTAAGCGAATTTATGTAATATAAAATAAATTATTTAATAATAGTTCTGGACTGTCTAAAAGAATCACGAATATTGAACCCTAGGGCATACGAAATTATTTGTGGAAAAATACTCACAAGTAATATCTAATGGAATTCTCTTTGAAGGGTTCATTCATGAATAAATAATGAAAATAATATATTATAGAAGAGATATACTCGTATGGTAACGAAACGTGAAGAAGTGATATGCAGATGGCTAACGCATTTATTCGACTTCCTTATTTTCCTTATTTTTCATTTTCTTTTTTTTTTTTTTTTTGAGGTTAACTGGTAAAATGTGGAAAACGCAAAATGCAGTTGCTATTTCCATTCCTACGGCTTTTGGTTTTTGTGCGTGCTTTTTGGCCAGTAATTGGATTTTTGTTTGTTATTTTTGCTATCTGTTTCAACAGCTTTCATACAGCTCCCCGCTGCTCTCTCCCTGCGTCACTCCCTCGCTTTTAGTAGAGTTTCCATCTGTTTAATGAACTTTGATTCTTGTTTCTTGTTAGTTGGATGAGTGCATAATTTAATTGAATTCTTTAAATATTTTTATACATATTATAATAGTGTTTGACTCTCTTGTTTATCGGTTCCACGCATCAGTGCATATTTCACAATCACTGTTTGCATAATTTACTCCCATTGTTTGCACTGACAACAGTTTTTAAGACTAGTTCAATAAAAAAAAAAAAAAAAAAAAAAAAAAAACATGAAATTAATTAAATTTATGCATTCTCATTGAAAGAAAAACAGCGAAATATTGAGTTATACACAAACATACAGAGTATTATACATATATACATATATTACATCCCGTATACTTTAGAGTTACTGTATATAATCTATATTTGCAGATAAATATCCGGTAAATTTTATTTAATATTTGGTATAGATATGTTTATAGTTCATCGGCTTTTGACTTTAAGATAATTTGGTAAAATACCAAATTTTTGATATCAGCATATATATGTATGTATGTATATACCATATGTATTTCCCTTTTTTCCCTTACTCAAAAAATTCGATTAGACGTTGTCCGCCCAAATTGCAATCGAATTAGACGCAAATCAAGTTAGGCCCAAAGTAGATAAGCATAGTTTTTCCCCCAACATTGAATTTTAGCAACAATTTGGCTTGAATCGTAGCAAACAACAATCTAGACAACTCGATTATGGATGAGCTTTTCCCTATGGCCCAGTCTGTTGCACATGTGATTACGTTTACGTAGCTGTTTTTGCCATTTGCATAAATAATACGAATTATTAATACAATTCCATCTAGTGTTGGCAAATTTTCACATAATAACTAAACAAAATACAATTGAATATCCACAGCACAATATATACATACATATATAAATATTCGTATTTGTCTGCCATTTGCTTTGGTCAGAGAAACATATTTGCTATGCAAATGATGACAGCCAACGGCAGTTAACGGTCAGGGTGCTTGGGGTGGACTCCGATGGCTGTATGAGGTTTACCTGCCTGCAACTATGTGGTCTTGTTTGGCTAGCAAACAAGGCATAACTCTTCGCCCCGTTGGCTGTGCAACGTGTGAACATGGCAAGCATTTTAGCCAAAAACTAGCCGCAGCTATCAGTTTCACTCTCTCCCTGCTCTCTCTCTCTCTCTTTGTCTTCAAGTGTATATATGTATGTATTTCCTTTTCTGTCTCTGCTCTTGCAACGTTCTGCTTGCAAGTAAAATTCGAGCTGACCCTACTGCTTGCATGCATAATTAATGCGTTGTGTATTGCAGCAAAATCCTAAACTCAGGAAAAACTTCTAGAATTGTGCTTAAATTGACAAAACAAAGGATTGTAGCGGGAAAATATAAACAAAATAAATATTTAAATTTATTAATATGCAAATACATAGAAAAATCAATAAAATTTCAACTAAGCTAAGACACACTTTGTGTATATTTTAGAAAATTCTTCCCACACTTTCGACAGCCCTTGGGATATACAAAATTAAATGGCAAATCTTATTGAATATTATATACATATATTACATATATACATATATATCGGCAAGACTAGCATAATAAGCACATCAACTCTCTCTTATTGAAAACCTATTAATGCAACGCATCAAACTATTTATTCTCTTTTCTTTTTCAACTATTCCAACTGTTCCTGTTTCATTGGCCCAAGCAATTGCAATTGCCTTGGCACTTCAACATAAATTTCCTTTACACTTTGTGCTCATATTTCATCTTAAGCCACATAGGGAATCATTGCTCAGCTTCTTTATTGGACATCAGTACAATTTGTAGACCCTCATGAATTGTTGGCCTGGCACTCTTGGCGAACGGCTGCATCAAAGATTAATGCCTTTTGGGCTCTAGCTGTAGTCATGCTTCTATAGACTGCACTTGCCACGCCCTCTTTTGCACTTTGTGCGATAAACTCCCTGTGGTGATTTGTCATCGTAAACAATAATTCACAATATCCGCTTATACTTCGCTGATGGCCTTTGTGCTCTCTCTCTCTCCCTCTCATTCTCCTTTTCTCTGTCTCTTTCTGAGATTCGCAGAAAAAACTTTTAATGGTGAAAGCTTTTAAAGTGTCGGCCATTTTGTTTGTGTTTGCTCAAACACTTTTGGGTTCGCCCAACTTTGCACCGTTAATTGACTTGCTTCCATTATGTAATTAAAATTTTAATTTGAGTTCTTCGTTGGTGGGCTCGACTAGCAAAATACCCTATGATAGGTATTTTACTATACACCAAAAGATAAAATATTTTTTTTATAAATAGTAGCAAATTAATTTGTACTAATAATTTTTTACTATGAATGAATGAATGAATGAATGAATGAATGAATTAGAATATTTATAATTTATTACATATAATATATTATAAATATACTATTTTTGCTGTATAAAAAATTATATTAGAAAAATTAATAATTTACTTTTTATTATAAATATTTTATTTTAATATTTATAGCAACATAATAATATATAAAAATAAAAACAATTCGAATAAAAAATGAACTAATATAACTTTTTTGGCTGCATTCTATTTTTGATATTCGTATTAATTTTAAATGTTAAATGTTAAATGTTAATGTTCTGTTCTCAGAACTCTAAAGTTGTATATCCATTGAGAATGGGTAATCAAAATTTTATGATTTTGTTAATATGTCTTTATGTAAATAAAGTATATACATATACATACATATATTCTTGACGAGCCGAGTCGTCTGTCTATCTAACTGTCCACATGAACTGGCGTGATCTCAACAGTATTTATTAGAGCTGTGGTCTACGTGATCGAAAGTTATAAATATTGTTCCCACTGTGCATGGGTAGAAAATGTTGCTGCCCAACAAAGACTACATCCGATCTGAATATTTTTCAAGTGAATACGTTTGAGTAGCATAGATATTCATTGCTATATACTTTTCGTCGTAAATTCATAAGTCTCTAATTCCAATTCAAACTTCACTGTATTAGTTTGCACTGCCATTTATTTATGCAATAGATTGATAAGATTGTACTACCTGGGTATAATTCTAGGAAATCGGCAATAGCTTCAGTGCTCAGCAGTCTGTCAAATCGAAAAGTTGACTCTTTGCTTCTCTTGTATAATTTCTATATGCTGTTGATTCTCTGATTACTCACGCAAAAGGAAATCAGATAGCCGAAATGGCAAACATGTTTCAAGATAGCTCATTCGAAGAGGTGCGTTTCAGTTGATCATAAAGTACAGTTCGGATTGAGCAAGAAATCTTACAGGTTGTAGACTACGGAGCCTTTGGAACGGCCGTTAGATGCAAATGGAATGTGAAGCCTCTAAATTCAGTCGCACTTGTACATAGCGCATTTGATATTAATTTAAGTGATACAGAATTGCTGCTTAGTCTCAATCATAAGAATGTTGTCCAATATGTTAAAATTTACCATGATCACCTACTACTGGAATATGCGGACTGTGGATCACTGCAGCAACTGCTGCACGGCGACGAGCAAAGGGAATATTCATTACGTAATGCCCTCGATTGGATGCATCAGGCAGCAAAGGTATTTCAACAGTTGCATTTGCCCATCTAACGCATTTCTCAATTCACGTTTTTTTTAGGGTTTTAGGTACTTGCATCTATGGATTCATCCCACATCGACAAATTATAATTTGACGCCTAATTTTCTTATGTTAACGAATAATTATCGCCATTTAAAGATCCTTGTACTACCCAGTAAATGTAAGAAATATTCACCGTTGGCAAGAAAAAATCAAAGAATAGATTATACAGGCAGCACTGATATATGCAATATAGGTATCACCATTTGGGAACTATTAACGCGTAAAAAGCCCTTTTACCACACTGATTATACAACGGATGAAATATTTGAGGCGGTGTTGAGAGGTATTTTAATTGATAATATCATATATCATATTACTGTTATCATTGTTTACTTAGGAGAACGCCCGGAAATAAACAATATAAAAATATCAATCACCGACGACTTAAAGAGGTTAATTCAACACTGTTGGGACTCAAATCCATATAAGAGACCCTATATTCAAGAGGTCATACATACGCTGAATCACATCCTGTGAGCGGAATATAAGCAATTGAAAGAAATAATCGTTAAAATCAACTATTTGATTGCAGCTCACAAGAGGATTATACAGATTTTGATCAACTATTAAAGGCTAATATCGGAGCAATCGTAGACTTTGAGGATATCAAGATCTGCAAGGTAATACTTAACATCTACATTGACATTTACTTTCTGATGCGATTGTGTTGTTTTAAGATTTAATATCCTAAAGTCTCTATACCAAATTATTTTTGATTCAGTTTAATCTGCATTACTTTTAATTCACAGAAAATCAGAGAAGATCCCTTTGGTGCTTCCCACAAAGCCATGTGGTTTGGTAAGGAGAAAACTGTCAGAAAATTCAAGGACATCACCGATCAATGGCTTCAAAATCAATCATTTGTACAGGAAATAAGAAGGAATATTGAGCTAAATAATAAATACTTAGTTCATATTTATGGCGTCTCAATAGGTAGCGAGTCAGTATATTTAATATCAGATTACTCAGATTGTGGAACTTTGCTCGATTATTTACATGGTGAAGATCAGAGGAAATATTCGGTAATTTGTGCCATTAATTGGATTACGGATGCTGCCGAGGTATATTTATATAAATATAACATCTGATATCAAAGTTTGTATTGCTATCGAAATCATTTATCGATATACCATATATATCGGAAAATTATTTCAAAACGGAACAGTATTGATAAAGCAATATAAATATATATTTAATATTTCTCCTCTCTTCAATGATTTTGTTTAACAATTTCACACGGTTGAAAATTAGTGATTATTGTTGTCCTCTCGACGCTGAAATTATGTTGAAGTCCACTTCGGAAGTAGCCTATATAGCACCAGAGGTTGGTATATATTACAATCAGCTCCCAATTATATAAAATATATACATTTGCATGTACAAATCCTTAGGTGCTTCGAACAAAAACATTTACATACCAGAGTGATGCATATAGCCTTGGAATTATCTTGTGGGAGGTTCTCGCACGGAAACAGCCCTATTACACTTTCATGGATGTTCTTCCACAAAGCCTATTGAAAATGATTCAAGGTAAGAAATTTTAGACCGCTTAGAAACTATTGTAATATTTAAACAGTTACAGGCATGCGTCCGGCTTTAAGTGATATAAGAAAATTGGAACTGGAGTCCATAGAAGAATTTATTGAACTTTGTTGGCATCAGGATGAACTGAAACGTCCAGATCCGTATATTTGGTTTGTACATCTTGATAGACACTGGTGAGATCAGCGCTTGATTTACTCTTGATTTTCATTTTCAAATTATATAATAATATTATTTATATAGCACAGATACCAACCGTAGCAAGATTATTGGATCTTACGAGCAGCTCAATTATGAGGATATTGAATTTATTGAGGTGACAATTTGTCTGCTGCCTCATAAGTTTCTTGATGATTCTTTTCTGATTCTATAGGCTATTGGAAGTGGCAGCTTTGGCATAGTCTATAAAGCGAAATGGCGTCAGAATGTTGTCGCTGTCAAAATATACAAAAATATGAAAGATACAAATCTCCGACATGAGGCCAAACAGCTATCCCGAATTAACCATGAGAGTATTATTAAACTACATGGTATATGCGATCACAATGGCTCCGTATATTTAGTCATATCTCACGCAGAGTGCGGATCCCTCTATAACTACTTGCACGGAGACGAGCACAATGAGTATACCATGGCAAGGGCCTTAGACTGGATGCGTCAGTTTACACAGGTTCAATCTTATTCAACATATGACAACATATCTACTCTATTTTATGGTGTCCTTACATCCATTTATAGGGTATTAATCACATACATTCCATGAAGCCAAGACCGCTGATTCATCGTGACTTAAAGAGTCATAATCTACTACTAACCACAAATTATCAGAAATTGAAAATTGGAGATTTCGGTACTGTGACGGATCTGAGATCTCTGATGACGTGTGATCGTGGCACTGCCGCTTATATAGCCCCAGAGGTTGTGCTAATCCCAATGTTCCATATAAATCGATTAATGAGACCTTAATACAAACACAGGTTCTCTTTGGAAACAAGTATACGGAGAAGTGCGACATTTATAGCTTTGGGATCGTTCTCTGGGAGGTGATGGCGCGCAGGAAGCCATTTCATCACATGGAGAATCCAAACTCATGTGCAATAATAAATCAAGCGTCGAAGGGTGAACGGCCACCCTTAGCTGATGTGATACCGAGTTGCATAGAGCTACGGACTCTAATTGAAAATTGTTGGCATCAGGATCCGGAGAAGCGGCCCTCAGTGAAACAAATTAAATTTAATAATATTCCATGTGCAGATATTTCAATCAGAGCACTACGATAAATATTATTTATAGGCATAACATATCACTTGAATAAATCAAATCTGATAAAATAAACTTACAATGCGATTTCTCAAGAGTTATTTGTGTTCAATTCGCACAGAATACAAACAGAAGTGCATAACGAAAGAAAGAGAGAGAGGGAGAAGGAGTGTGAGAGCGACAAGAGGAAGACAGAGATTTTTCCCTTACAATTTGCAATTGCATAGCATCAGTAAAAGACTTTTTAATTAAAGCAAATAAACAGTGTTAATTAAAAATGCGCATACGCATAATTGAATTGTAACTGAATCAGCACTCATTCTGCCTCACACTTGCCCACACACATACACACATATGCATATATGTTTCAATAAATGTCAAATATATATTGATATTTGCTTCGCGCTGCATGTTTCGATTGGCATTCATTATTAATATTTAATTGCAATTCGAGTGCTGTTTATTGAAGTGTTTTTGCCATTTTACATGTTTATTGCATTTGTATTCGTCTGCCTCCACAGTGTCCTCTCTTACTCGAATACTTCCTCAGAAATATATTTCAATTAATTTGGCTGCTAATTTTTAGTATGATTATTAGTATTATTTTTTTCGTGTACCTAATTATGAGAGCAGAGCGCCAACTTAATTGAGATTTAATTAGTTTGCATTTTATTGTAAATATTTAATAATAATTTCCCCGCTCATAAACATGGCCAAATTAATTGAAATCTACTCCAATTAATTGTTATGCGAGTCGAAAAAGAAAAAGAAAATATATATACATATATGGCATGGCCTAGGCTTAGTCGCTGCTGTTGTATTAATTAGCAATTGGCATTATGTATTTAATATTTAATGCAATCATATATAATATCCAATGAATTTTATGCGATTAACTCCGAGCACTTAATGCGAAAATTAAGATATTTATGCCGCCTGGCTGACTGAATGGCTGGCTGAGGGGTGTGCCTGGCTTTCCGTGGCATATTTCCAGGGGATTACCGCACGAAAATCCCCTGGCTTTTATTTTAATATAAACAAATTGGCTTTTCTTCGGGTTTACACAGTTATAAAGTGTAAATATCTTAAGGAATATTTAAGTGAATGAAAACTGTTCTTGGTTTTTAATTGAAAAGGCAATTAAAACTTACTTTTATATTCCAAAATTGTTTACTAACTTTAGATAAAAATATTCGATGAGAAGTAGGTGTTTTGTACATTCCCAGCTCTGCTAAAAAGTCAGAGTATATCCTAGTCGAGCATTCCTTGCCTCACATTACTTTCGCTAAGGGAAAACTTATCTACACAATATTCACTTCTTAGTTAATTCAAGTCTTTCTCTGCCAACACTCAATGCTCTCATCAACTTTTCTATAGCATTTCCTTATTTTCCACAAATTTTGCCCCTAATGCAAATTCAAGTACCGAGTGCAAATTCGCACAGCTAATGCACTAATTCTTTAGCTTCTCAAGGAAAACTAAGTTAAGTTAAATCAGTTTTGCCTTTCACACAAAACCCTTGACCGGGCCCCAGCAACTGTCAGCTTCAACTCGAGTTTTTCGCAAAAGCTTTTCGCACTTAAATGACTTTCTTTTCGCTGTGCTAAAAATGCTTGGCAAAGCTAAAATGCTATTAGCTGAGATTACTCGAGCGAGCGAGAGACAGAGAGCGCAAGAGAGGGAGAGAGAGACAGTCAAAGCAGGGTGACGGCATATAGCAAAATTAATGAACTCAATGTGTCCAAAAAAGCAAGTTAGAATAAACTGTGAGACATAGGCATGGAGAGAGGCAGAAAGAGAGAGAGAGAGAATATTAGATAAATGTAGAAAAGCTGACACAAAGCGCGAAAATTGGCAGATAGCCATAATGAAAATGAATGCGAAAATCTGACACTTTCACAAAAAGTTCATAAACTCTCTTTGAAATTAGTATCAAATAGGTCGCCTGTCAAGCTGAAATCGGAGATTGATTGTGCAATTCATTAAAAAAATATATATTATTACGAAATATATCAAATATCGAATAACACGCCATTTTTATCTGTTTGCTATTCAGTTCATCGTCTAGCCAGTAAATTGGAGAAATATAAATATGTTTTTATCAACCGTCCACAAATACCACAAAAACACATATATTTTAACTGAAGTCTTAATTACACCTGACCGCAGCAACAGCAACAGCAATAACAAAAGCAAATTGTAGCAACAGCTCGACTATGGAATACCTTAACCTTAAAAAAGATTCTACAAATGATTTTCTGTTTAAAAAAAATACGTTTAATAATATACAAGCAAGCAAGTAAATATGCTTCTTTATTCGTTTTACCATATATATATATTTTTTTAATTTTTTAAGGTTGATCCGTATAATTTTTTATTTTAAAAATATGCATTTTTTTGTTATAATAAATTTTCATCTTATTTATTTTTGTTTAATTTGTGAAATTTCAATGTTATAATATTTATATTTTTAAAATGTTATTTAAAAAGTTAAATATTAATTAATGTATTCATATATTACAAAATTGTATTTGAATTTGTTTTAAGTATTAAAAAAAAAAGATATATATATATATATATATATATATATAAAACAAATTCAAATACAATTTTGTAATAAATATATATATATATATATATATATATATATATATAAATAAACATCAATTTAGATTTATTTATTTATACATTATATATATATATATATATATATATATATATATATATATATATATATATATATATATATATATATATATATATATATTTATAATGTATAAATAAATAAATCTAAATTGATGTTTATTTAGCCTCAATATATTCATGCTCTTCAGAGTATCTATAAAAAGCACGACACTTTGTCCAACAATTGCCCACAGGTATCTGGCTACCTGTAAATTTCATGGGCCGCAGATAAAGCTTATTAAAACACGACCACGAAAATCTGCGCAAAGTATTTAAAATGTCGGAGCAGCCATAACAAATTATATTAATACGCAACCATGTTGTTTAGTGTGTACACACGTTTACGCCCCGTGTGGCCCTCCCAGGAGGCAAGTTTGTCAGCCAGGTGGGGCGGATCGGGCTGGGTTGGGTTTGGGTTGTCCAACAACATCTACTTCATTTAGCTTGGCGCCGGCCAGACGATTTTGACATTTTATTACCAAACAAAAGGCAACAAAAAGCCAAAGCCAAAGCCAGGCAGCGCTTCGGGTGGAACAGGTGGAGCTGAGGAGACTTTGAGCCATGACTCACTTGGCTAACAGCGTCTACCTAAACTGGATTACTCGCTGTTTGCAGGCAACTTTGTCATCCAGCATTGAGGGTAGAATTTGATGACCGTGTTGCCAGCACGTTGTTTTTTCCGCTGCTTTTGTCTTTAATAGAGTTTATTTATAATATTATATTAGAATACAAGTCTAGTTTTGTTGTTGTTGTTGCTTTTATAGCTGTCTATCAAACGAAAACTTTACATATTGCACATCAATCTAGTACCAGTTTGTAACTGTCTGTATCCTATATATTTGATCTATTCCAGTAAAAGTTGGCACATTATGCAATTAAGGGTTGAAACAGCCCATAAAGTGTGCGTGGGCATTAAAAGTAGGCTATAACAAGTGTGTTTAGGTGCTAGATAAGGTTGCCCCATAGCAAATCGACAAAGGTCAAATTTATTTTTACTTAATGTAATAATTAAGCTGACGCAAATGTGAAATGTTCATATTAATGTATATAAGTAAATATTTTGTTATTTTCTTAAATGTATTATAATTCAA